CCCCAAAACCCCAAAACCCCAAAACCCCATGACTCAAATAATGATACTTATAAATTTGAAGTGGATAAAATATTTTTAAATTTAAAATTTAAACCGCAATGGCAGTATTATTCACAGAATACTTTTCAAAGCAATATGTGACTAAATGGAATTCTATTAGTGCAGTCATATGCTACTTCTTCATGGCTATAGCTTTCATTTTACCTTTAATTTTGGTTACAAGAACTCATAGTAAGTTATCTTCAACACTAATTGTTGTTAGATTTCTGGGTATCTAGACTCTCCTACTACGAGTAGCCAAATGTCAACCATTTGAATGAAGCATTGATAGTTTTTTAAACAACTCAAGGTGTTTAATATGCAAGCATTAATAAGCATATTTCAGAGCTGTATGGAGATTCCTAAGCTTAATCTATTCCTACTTTCTCTGTAGATTGTTCTTATTCTAACATTCTAGATTCAAAACTATGATAACAATGATGATGGAATTACTGATAGAATTAAAGCAAAATTCACAGCAATGATTGACCCAAGTATAATTAGAAGTATAGTATTGATTTAGCAATTCTCATATGAAATATCTGTAAGATAGGAATATCACTCATGATTATTTTAATAGACTAAAGTTGAAGCAGATATTAAGCTAACTACATATAATTTGATTTAATCGCCTTTTGGAGCTAATAGAATTGAGGCTCTTGGAACTATTGAACTAATCTAAAGAAATACATTCGCTCTTGGTTCTCTTAAGAGAGTTATTAATTATGATAGTGACGATCTTTACACTTAACTTTAGGACAAGAGTATCCTAGAGTTCCTAGATTATGTAAATCAGCAGAACACCACTTTAGAGTATAGAATAGAGAACATACATACAATTCCAGGCACTGGAAATATTGTCGAAATTGATTTAGATATGAGAATACCAAGCTTATAGCAGCTCGTATATGTGCCTGGTGTTCTTGAAAGCCTAAAAATTGCTTGGATTTAGTATTTGGCTTTGCTAATACCTTGCATTTGGGTAATTTATCAGCTAATTCTTGGATTCGCTTTTAAAAATAGAGTGTTAGCAACACAGACAAAAAGTAACATTCAACTTCTCAGTAAAATTAGATGAAAAATTTATTATTTTAATAATTTAATTGATTTGTAATTTCATTTGACACAAATGCAATTTCAACTATGAGGGGTTTTGGGGTTTTGGGGTTTTGGGG